AGAACTTGCATTCTTTTTTTTTTCTCTTTCAACATATTAGTTACTCAATACCATGTCAATTAATTCCATAACGTTATAAATTGTTACTGATGTAATGTCAGGGCTTTTAATTGATCAGGATGATACTCTGCCAGCTCTACCTTCAGACCAGAGATGGTCTCTCCAAGAAACCACTGAACTTACCAGGACAATAAGATGCTGGACTTTATGCTTAGTAGATGCTTGCAATGAAATAATCTCAACTGAATTTGAACTGTGGTAATGCAACAAGGTGGAGGAATCCACCACGGGGGGTGGGCTGGGGGGGGGATCCCAGTGCCTATAAAACTGTGTCACATAATGCAATGTAATCAATAAAAAAAAAGAAAGAAAGAAATAGCCCCCAATAAAACTAACCAATCATGGGGAGGGGTTGGGGGAATCCCAGAGCCTATGAAACATTGTCACATAATGCAATGTAATTTAAAAGAAAAAAAACCCACAACTTACATCCCCATACCAGAGAATTTCAAAATGTCTTACTGGGATCATATTTGTAATTAAAAAGAATCCTAATTTAATGTATTTAACACTATTTTTCTCAAAGAGATATCTACTATACCTCTTGTGAATAAACAACATCAATGCAACTTCCATAAAAACAAAAAATAATAATATCATAAGAAAAGCAAACAAAATACAATCCCTATCTTTGAGCAAAGTCTACGGGAAGAACATGGTTGGGGTAGTGCTTGTTTCACTGTACATGAAACAGAAACAAAACAAAAAATAAAATAAATAAAAAATGTATGCATTGCAGATTATGGCATGTTCCACTCTGCCTCACAACCTCCCCAGAATGGGCCGGTGGGATTTAACATGAACCCAATCTGTCAACCAAGCTGAAGACAGACACGTGGGCACTAATGAGCAGTCGTGAAAAACATATTGCTCCATTCAGCTCCTCCAAACAATGATAAATAATTCAGGAAAGAACTGCTGCAACACAGAGCTCAGCAGCAGGATTTAAAAATAGACCACACGCTAGAGAATCTAGGTGGGAGAAACAGGAGACACAGAGAAAGCAGATTTATGTCAACAAATTCCCAACCCCTTTGCAATAAAAGCGGCTACTGAAATTGTCACAGACACCAAAATTCTAACATATTTTTTTCAAAACATAGGTATCTGTCAGGAATTTAGAAAATCTGATAATAGCAGAACTAACAATAGTACTTTTGCCAATAGCAGTTATTACATAAAAGAAAATTCAAATGTAGGAAACACTGGGTGGTGGTGGTGGTGGTGGTTGTGATTTTAGCGGTTTTTAAAAAAAAATTTTTTTTGAAAAGCACAGTGACAGAGTCTCTCTGAGGTGCACACCCCTAAATGCACACAACAGCCAAAAGTCTGAAGCTCAACCCATGTCCTCTACATGGTTCGCAGCAATGCAAGAACATGAGCCATCACTTGCTGCACATTAGCAAGTAGCTGATTCAGAAGCAGAGTGAGAACATACCTCAACACATGGATACAGGATGTGGGCATCAAGAACAGTGTTTTAACCACTACACCACAATGCCTACCTAGAAGACAGTTTTTAAAAAGAAATAAAAGCCTCAGCTGTAGGCAACTGTCTAGGTGGCCTGGTACCTAGACAAATAAATGTTAAAATGTTGAGATAAAACAGCCAAGGGCTGGCTGGCTCTCTGGTTCTAATTAATGCAAACTCTTTTTTTTAGATTTATTTATTTATTAAAAACTCAGATTTACGGAGAGAGAGCAAAAGATTTTCTGTCCACTGGTTTACTCCCAAATAGCTCAAATCGCCAGAGCTGAGATGATCCAAAACAAGGAGCCTCTTCTGGGTCTCCCATATGGGTACAGGATCCCAAGACTTTTGGCCATCCTCTACTGCTTTCCCAGGTTACAAGCAGGGAGCTGGATGGAAAGTGGAGCAGCTGAGATCAGAACTGGCACCCATATGGGATCCCAGCACAGGCAAGGTGAGAATTTAAGCCACTAGGCTACCATGCTGGGCCCAAGTGCCAACTCTTTAATTACACCAGTGTGACAGTATAGTTGCCTATTCTAGTCTTTTTTTTCCCCTAAAGATCTGGGGGGAGATGAGGTGGCAGGAGTAGTGAGTGGAGAGCTAATTGTACCTCTGCAGGTACACACCAACTGGGTTGCCTGTCTGCCACATATGCATGGGTCAAGCTAGGTTGCAGCATCTGCTGGTGTTAGGGAGAGCCATGTCTGAGGGCAGTTCTGCTAGGGGTTAAGATTGCCCTGACTAGGTCACGGCACCTACTGTCCACACACATGAGAACTAAGACTGGGTAACAGGCTTGGTAGAATATCTTGGGAACACTCCTCTAGACTTCAGCACCCATCAGAGAACATGTGAGTTGGGGCTGGGGACAGGTTGAGCTGCCCATAGGGGATGCTGGTGCCAGAGGTGGAAGGTTAGCCTACTACACCATGATGCCAGCCCACAGCCCACCTTTTAAAAAAATATATTTTATTTGTTGATTTGTTTGTTTGCTTATTTGTTTGAAAGGGCGTGGGGGTTGAGGGCAGGGGAAATAGGTTTTCCATCTGCTGGTTTGCTCCCCAAAATGGTCTCAATGGTCAGAGTTAGCTGATCTGAAGCCAGGGGCAGCCCAGAAACCCAGTGACAAGCAGCCCAGAAAACCAGGCCATCTTCTGCTGCTTTCCCAGGAATATTAACAGGGAACTGAATCAGAAGTAGAGCAGGTGAGCCTCAAACCAGCAGCACAGGCAGCAGCTTTAACCACTACATCACAACACACCCTAAATAAATTTTTAAAATAATAATAATAATAATAATAAATACACTACAGGTAAAAATAGAAACAGACCAATGCTCCTATTTCAAATATTTTTAGAAAAAAAATTAAAAGCTGGGTCTCCTCAAAACTGTGCTAATTGGGACCTGGTGCGATGGCCTAGTGGCTTCAACTTCCCATCTAGCTCCCTGCTTGTGGCCTGGGAAAGAGCTGAGGATGACCCACAGCTTTGGGACCCTGCACCCACATGGGAGACCTAGAAGTTGTTTCTGGTTCCTGGCTTTGGATCAGCTCAGCACTGTCAGTTGCGCTCACTTGCTGAGTGAACCATCGGACAGAAGATCTTCCTCTCTGTCTCTCCTCCTCTCTGTATATCTGCCTTTCCAATAAAAATAAATAATTCTTTTTAAAAAACTGTGCTAATCAACTATACAAAGACCAGAGATACATGGACTAGGATGAAGATTTTTTTTCTAATTCTCTCAATTCAAGGAGTGAATACTAAACATTACAATCAAAGGAGAGAAGCAGTAATTTCCAAGTACCAGTTTTAAAACAAGGTCTTTTAAAAACACTTTTCCAGAGAATCAAGACAGCGAAATAGGGTAAGGACATGTTTAAACAGAAATATCAGCCAGTGTGACCCAGAGAGGTCACATTCCAAGAAACTGGAGAGGACAGAACAACAGCAGAGGGGTACCTGGAGACTGACAGACACAGGAAAGCAGCGTACACAACGGCGTGGTGTTGCAGTGACTGATACCCTAGTAGCATTCGGCGAGTGGTGTTCTGAATCACACCAGCAGCCAGAACTACACCAGCAACCAGGTGAGAAGGGACGCAGGTGAGAAGGGGCTCAGCAGTGAACCCAGACAAAGAATTGTCCATCCTGCTGGTCTGTTTGATTTGACCAGGAGCAGAGATAGAGCGGCAGATCCCAGAGGGGCAGTGCAGGAACAGGGTGGATTTCACAACCCAGTCTGCCCCCTAGAGCCATATCAGGCATCATTTTGTTTAAGGAGGTAGGGCTATGGACAGTACTGTGCATGCACTGAGCTGCGAGTGAACTAATTTCTGGCTCAGTGAACTGCAACAACGTGGCATCTTATAAGATAGGACCGGGTAGCCCTAAGACCTGACAGCCAGCAGATCAAGAACTCTAGTAGTGGCACATCAGGCACTATTTCTTACAGTGTGGGCAAAGATTTTAAGACTGCAGGGGACAACAGTGAGCTGCACTTGTGCTGAGCTCAGTGATAATTCACTGAGCTCAATGCATTGCACTGGTCCCACACAGGAAAATAATATCGACTATGGCATCACACAGGTAAAAATAGGTCCGTGTGGCCCTCAGACCTGATGATCAACAGGTTCTGGCAAGAGTAATACCAACAGCAACCTAGCTAAATAGGGTACCTGGTGTCTCCCTAATCCTGGGACCTGTTCCAATTGGAGTGGGAGAAAGGTTGTACAGACAATAGTGCAGCCTCAGCACAGTATCACCAGAGGTGGAAACTGGTGAGCTAGAAGCTGGGGCTATGGAGACCATGTTGGAAATCTAACATAAGAACCCAAACCTGGAACTCACTGGAGGGAGTGGCACAACTGACTGCAAGCAAACAACCACGTGCCAACTGCAATAAGTAAAATCAAACTGTAGACCTGTGGGTGACAGAACTTAGGAACCTGACCCAAGGAGAAGAATCTGATAACCAGAAGTACAATGACCAACAGCAAAAGAAGAGACACAGGCATAATGAATACTATTGAAGACTACCCTGCAATGGGCAGTCAGAGTTCACTGAGGAAGACATCAAGAAAATGGGAGATACAGAATTCAAAACACTTGTTATAAAACCATCAACAATGAGAAGCATGTAAAGTAGGTATTCAAGGAATTCAAGGAATATGTCACACTTGTTATGAATCAAATGAAAGCTGATATATCAGAAATGAAGAATACATCAGAGCAAATTAAAAGTACACTGGAGAGTCTCCAAAATAGAATGAAGGAGGCAGAAGAAAGAATCTCAAAAATGGACAACATTCGCTGTCACCAAGGGGAAACAAACAAAAAGCTGGAAGCAGAGCTGGGTCAAACTAAAAACAAGTATTCAAGAATTGAAAAACAGTATTAAAAGGCCAAATATAAAAGTTATGAGAGTCCCAGAAGGTAAAGAAAAATAAACTAGGATAAAGATGTATTCAGTGCTTGCTTTGGCAGCACATATACTAAAATTGGAACAACACACAGAAGATTAGCATGGCCCCTGCGCAAGGATGACACACAAATTTGTGAAGCGTTCCATATTTTTAAGAAGTCACAGGATGTGGTTAAGAACCTGTATTTTCCTTTTAACATACTGGTTAATCAATACCATGTCAATTAATTTCATAACATTGTAAATTGTTACTGATGTTATGTTGGGGTTTGTAATTGATCAGGATGATACTCTGCCAGCTCTACCTTCAGACCAGAGATGGTCTCTCCAAGAAACCACTGAACTTACCAGGACAATAAGATGCTGGACTTTATGCTTGGTAGATGTGTGCAATGAAAGAATCTCAACTGAATTTGAACTGTGGTAATGCAACAAGGTGGAGGAATCCACCGGGGGAGGGGGATGGAGGGTTTGGGGAGGGGTGGGGGGAATCTCAGTGCCTATAACTGTGTCACATAAGGCAATGTAATTAATAAAATAAAGGAAATTTTAAAAAGGTATATTCAATGAAATAATAAGGGAAAATTTCCCTAATCTAGAGAAAGCACTGGGAAACAACATCCAGGAGGGGCACAGAACTCCCAACAGGGTCAAACAAAAGCAGTCTTCTCCACGACACATGATAATCAAGCTTTCTTCAATTGAACATAAGGAAAGGAAATGATCCTTAAATGTGCACGTGAAAAAAATCAATTGACATATAAAGGAATGCCAATTAAACTCACAGGAGACCTCTCACAGGAAACTCTACAGGCAAGAAGAGAATGGAGCTACATATTCCAGATCCTAAAAGCAAACAATTGTCAGCCCAGGATAATGTGCCCAGTAGTACTTTCCTTTGCCTTTGAAAATGAAATAAAATTCTTCCACAGTAAAGAAAAGTTAAAAGAATACGCCTATTCCAAACCTGCCCTACAACTGATACTTCAAGATGTTTTCTTGATAGAGAAAAGGAATAGTGCCCACCAAAACCAAAGACAAATGCAAAGACCATCTCAGTAAAATTACAACAGAAGATTAAATCAAACAATGAACAACCCATTACTAAAATGACAGGACCAAATTACCATCCATTCATATGAACCCTGAATGTAAATGGATTAAACAAAACCCATGTATTTGATTATTTTTTTGTTAGTTTCATCTCTTCAAAACACTTTCTCCTGATTAAAGTCTTCAATGACTCATAGATCATACAGTAGCATCTCAAGAAGGTTCTTGATTTTTCTTTTGACTTCTTCAGTGACACATTAGTATTCAATAACTTGTTATTTAACTTCAAGGTGTTAATTTCTTTTTATTTTCTCTTTCTGTTGTTGATTTTGTTTTGTGGCTTTTAAGGGGATGTAGAGAAACTGTGTAATGGAAGACTATCATATCCAGATGCAAGGATACAACGCAGTATGCATTTCTACTTCCAAAGATGAACTCCCAATAAAGCTATCCACTATATCTTGACAATAGGATGCTGGACTCTCTACCATTGTCCATGCCCGCAAGGATGGACATATGACCATTTGAAGAACTATACTATAGTAATGATATAGGGGAACTCAGTGAGAGGGAAGGGAATTGGAGAGGGGATAAGGGAAATCCCAGGGCCTATGGAACTGTATCATAAAATAGATAATAATAAAAAGAAGTAAAATTTAAAAAATAATAATAAATACACTTTTTCAGATATAACAACATAGTCAAGCCAGCTGTTTTGCATCCCTGCTCCACTAACTACACAGAGGAAGCCATTGCTTCCTCACTGTAAGCTCAGGCCCTCACACTGCTGACAATACAGTACAGTCAAACTAAGCTGAATTTCCCTGGCACTAGTACACCCTGGGTGCTGGTAATGGGTATGCTATTCTGAGCTCTGCACAACAGACAGACCTCAAGACCTGCCCATCCCCTCAGGGCAATGTGGGAGATCACACCTAATCTCTACCTATCTAGCCCATATTGGAGGCCAGAGGCACATGGCACACTGTGTCTTTGGCTAACAGACCCTGACATGGCCTGCGACAAGAGTGATGGGCTGCACCCCATTCTCTCTTCCCTACTCTGCTAGGACTTCCTTTGTAAATAACTCAAGGAAGTCAAATGTTATTTTCATCTTGGTTTTCAGCAGGTAACAAGTCTGCCCTGAGATACAATTTCCTATGCTCCCTGACCTTTGACTTCACTGGAGGGTCCAGAGATAGACATTTCTGTTGTTGGTTGAAAGCACTGTCAGGACTGCCCTTTTGCCTGTCCCCTTCTACATAAGCTTGTGATTTCTCTCAGACATCCATCCTTCACCACCACTTTGTCTCCAGTGTTTCTACTGCAGAAGAGCACTGTCACCTCACCTCTCAGTGGTCTCGGGGGCTACTGGACAGAAGACCTCCAAGAGGGCAGGATGACCATAGGACCAATGGGACATACCTCCTGAAACCCAAAATCCACTGCTTCCCACTCTGCTCCAAGTGTCAGAATTTCCTGGCCAAGTAGGCCCAAGTTTACTTTCAGGGCATTCTGCAAATCTCCTTTCAAATGCTATCCTCTCATGGACAATATGTACTGTCAGAAACCATCTAAGGAATAAGGAAAAAATGATTGGGAGGGGTAAAAGTTGAAATTAGAGTTGTGAGGTACGCTTGTACTCTCTCATTCTGTTTGAAAACTTTGAAGAGTAAAGGGTGCCAAATTCCAGCCTGGCCTATAATAACATACGTGAAAATATATTTGCTGGGAGCAGCATTATGGCATAACGCAAATTAAGCCACCGCCTGCAGTGTTGACACCCTAAATAGGTGCTAGATCAAATCCTGGCTGCTCTACCTCCAATCTAGCTCCCTGCTAATGTGTCTGGGAAAGCAGTAAAGGATGGCTCAAGTACTTGAGTACTACACCCACATGGGAGCCCTAGAAGAAGCTCATGTTTCCAGGCTTTGGCCTGACTTAGCCCTAGTCATTGTGGCCATTCAAGGGATGAACTAGTAGATAGCAGGCCTCTCCATAACTCATTCAAATAAATAAAATAAAGGGAGATGGAGAAAACATTTTGAATATTTTAAAAAAATTAATTATAGGGTTTGACACAATAGCCTAGTGGCAAAATGCACATGCCAGGACCCCATATCAGTGCTGGTGCTAATTCAGGCTGCTCACTTCCCTCCAGCTCCCTGCTTGTGGCCTGGGAAAAGCAGTGGAGGATGGCCCAAAGCCTTAGGACCCTGAACCTATGTGGGAGACCCAAAGAGGCTTCTGACTTCAGATCAATTTGTATCTCCTCTCTGTATATCTGCCTTTCTAATAAAAATAAATCTTTTTTAAAAAAATCTTCATTTATAACTATTAAAATCCAAACATGAAATATGGGTTTCCACTCACACACTTTCCCTAGACCTTAAATGATTAGAATTATTACTGCTTGGCCCAGCCATATATAAGTTTTGTGACTTGGAATTAGTTAAAAAAAAAAAAGAAGGAAAGAAAGAAAGAAAGAAAAAAAATTTCTTTCTTGCTCACTTTGGTGAGCTATAAAATTAGCAAGTTAAAACATCCTTAAGGGGCCCAGTGTGATAGCATAGTGGTTAAAGTCCTTGCCTTGAATGTGCCAGGATCCCACATGGGCGCCGGTTCTAATCCCGGCAGCTCCGCTGCTTGTGGCCTCCTTGCAGCCTGGGAGCAGTCGAGGATGGCCCAAAGCTTTGGGACCATGAACCCACATGGGAGACCCAGAAGAGGCTCCTGGCTTCAGATTGGCTCAGCTCCAGCTGTTGGGGCCACTTGGGGAGTGAACCATCAGACGAAACATCTTCCTCTCTGTCTCTCCTCCTCTCTGTGTATCTGCCTTTCCAATAAAAATAAATAAATTTTTAAAAATTCTTCAGCATGCTTGGTACAATGTTTCTTAAGTGCCACTTGGGATGGTGATGGCTGCCCAGGGCACTGGAGACGAGGGGCTGTCTGCTCCAGACCTGGCATGTCTCCCAGGCTTCAGCCTGGAACAGGAGGGGCCACAGGAGCCAGTTATGTCACTGCCTGGCGGGATTCCAGCTGACCAATGGCACACCTGAACAGACATTCCTTACATAATTGGGGGCATAGACAGCCTCTTTGCCAGCCCATGTGTGTTTAGGAGTGTAAAACTCCTCAACACATTTCTCAGCTGCCCTTTTCACCTCCATCTTCCTTCCCCTCTGTGCGAAGGGGGCCCAGGAGTGGATTTTCCAATAAAGCTTCCATTACAACTTTGAACTACTTGCTGATATTATTCTACCAGCAGGCAGGCGGTTGGTGGTCATCACCTAACATTTGGTGCTGAATCTCGGGAAGGGTTTCAGGGGTTTCATGAACTGATTGAGCCCTCCCCCCGCCCCACTACCTCCACCTCTTCCCACAGCCAAGCCACCAGCCCCAAGGCCTTTGTCGGCTGCGAAATGACAGATGTGAGGTAAACCCCTCCGCCTTGCTCCTCCAGGCCCGAAAAGTACTCCCCAACCTCCTACAGACCTCCCAAGCCGTGTACACAGGATCTGCGTGTCTTGAGCCCTCAGTGGGGGGCGGGGGGGAACCCTGGTCATTGACCGGCTCCCACCCATCCAGGGCCCTCAATGGGGAACTGGCCCTCCTTAACGGGGAACTAGGTTTCCCACTAGTCTGAATTCCAAAGCGGGGACACCTTCTTTGCGTTTAATTAGCAGCGAGATAATTTATCAGGACAGGATGGGTAACAAAATATCCTGATCCCATGGCTCCCAAGCCCCTTTAGGGTATTTATTGGCCAATTTTAAAACTCTGGGTCTGGGCCAGGACTTATACTGAAAACACCTTGTCCATTTTTCAACCGTGGCCTGGCCACAGTATCTGTTGGACAACGGCTCCAAATGGCCAGAAGGCGGCATATTTGACTTTCAGATCCTCACGGAATTGGGTACTTTATGTCATCTCAAGTGTAAATGGTCTTAAGTTCCATATGTGGAAGCCTTTTGTAATCTCCGTTCCTGCCCTTCCCTATGCTCCTCCTGTTTCACAACTCAGGTTCTCCTGGCCAAGGTCAAGCCCTCCCCATCTCCCAAGGATCTCTTAGATTTTTCACCTAACCATACCTTTTG